GTGGACAAGAATCAACACGCCTTGCTCGCATCCGCTTGCAGCCAATCGCTTTCAAAGTTAGTTTCGTTCAGCTGCATATATCCCTCATGTTTTGAAAGGTTCCTAAAAGAAGGATCCTGGCAGGATGGACAACCGGCCTGCATTTCTTCTGGCATCTTACACAAACATAAATTATGTGTCGGATGTCGTGTTTGTATTCCAGGTGTCTTGCTCAGTGTGTCTGGCCATGTGTTCCACAGCGTTTGCATAACTCCCGAATTTGATGGCTTCCTGCCACCCATGTGGATCTTGGGTCACTGACCGAACGCGCCTGCGACTAGGACTGGGAAGAAAACACACGGGTGAGACATCAGTTCTTATGGAAGCCGCAGCCGCCACTCAATTGCTTGGGCATGGCCCCTTCTTTTGCTGGTGCTCAGTGGGGAATGAGGGAATGACCCTTATAAACCACCCCTTGTGGTTTCCTTTAAGGGGTTCATTCTCTCATTCCCTACCGAGCAGCAGCAAGTTCTGCATACATGGAGTCCAGGCTTGGTGCTTGTCCCCTTCCTTCCCCATGAAGAATCAGCAAGAAGGCCAAGCCCGCCGGAGCCACTCCAAAGTCCTTCCTGGAAGAGCCTCCTGATATGTGATAGGCATCGTAAGTCCCTCAACCCAGTCAGCAGGGCCATTTGGGCCAATGTACTCAGCAAGCGAGGTCCTGCGCCCAGTTCTCCTGTTTTGGTTTTCTTTATTAAGACCAAGTTATATATAGAAGATCTAAGATCCCCGCTGTTGCCTCATTTTTTCGGGGATCCCCAATCTAGCTCCAGGTACAAGGGCATGGAAATGGAGTTGTACCAGCGCGCCCGCGGGCCCGGTGAGAAAGTCTTTGGAGCCTCTCACGAGGTTGAAGCATGAGCACCGGCTTCGACCTGGGCTGGTCCTTCGGGTAGAGACACATTCATGTTGGTGGACCTGCTGCATGAGTTGCCGAGCCCGTTGCTGTTTTCTGGTCTGAGAAGAGCATCTATGTCAACAGTCAAAGCTTGCTTTGGCATGTTTCAACCAGAAGCCTGAAAGGCAATCCCCAATTGCCGCTTTGAGAGGCAACAAGTCGTGCGTTTCCAGCTTCTACTTTGGAACCAACAAGGCATGTAGCAAACAACCGGTAATTTCCTTTTTGAGAATGCATCAATTATGCCCCAACAAACAAAAACCAAAGAATCCCAACTTTGACACGCCTCCATATGATCCATGCACCCTGATCAGAAAGACCCGTCCCCCCCCCCCCCCAATTTTGCGACAGTCGGCTACACCTTGACTTTCTCTGCACAGCCGTTTGGGTGAAACAGACATGTTCATGGACATAGAAAGCGCACTCTGGGTCTCTAGATATGTGGACCACCCCACATGGGCGGTTTCCCTTGCGGTCTTGAAGCTCGCGGCTCGAGGTCTGTGAGAAATACGCAGAGATGCCCAAGGACAGAGAGGGAGTGTGTAGAGTATGGAGAGGCGGCTTGACCTCAGGGCTGCAAGCGGCGAAGTCACAGCGACTTTTTGAGTGCCATTTTTTCACAGCCCGAGTTGGTGTTTGGCAAGGCTTTTTTCTAGGCGTTGTGACAGTTGAGGGATGAATCTCATGCAACGTGCGAGAGATGGAGGCGACCGGCTAGGAGGCACAAGAGCACCCATCAAAATTCCAAAGGCAGTGATAGCTCCAGCTCGAACAAATTGACCTTTCGGTTTTTCCAGTTGGGACCCATGTTTGGTACTGGCCCCCACATGCAAAGCTTCAATCTGCGGGATGTGGAGGCCACGTTGCTGTCAGGGGGCTCGCTCTGGGCGCGCGAGCATGTAACTCTGCGATTGGGCGGGCGGGCATAAGCCAAGAGGGGGCTGGAGGAAACGAGCGAAACCGATCCAGACCTGCTCTGAAGGAGGTCGACGAGAGGGGCGCAAGGGCCTCAGGTTTTTGATCCACGCTGGCGTGACTGAGATATATGACGGGGCAGTGGCAGGGGGGACTGGTAGGGGGGAGGAGGGTCCTTTGGCTGATTAAGTGTTGGATTCTTATGTCCCATGAGCATTAGGTGTACACAAAGTAGCTCATGAGTGGTTTGGTTCATCAAGTTTTGCGGGTGCAATCATCTTTGGTAATTCCTTTGCCAGTGTGATGTGACTTTCAAAGCCATGTGTGCCCAGATTCGCCCACTTACCTGCAACCAGAGACAGAAACCGAAGGACGAATCATGGCCCCGCTGGGATTGTAAGAGCGATGGTATGCAGACTCATGCAGGTTGGATCCATGTCCGGGGCATGTGCAATCTTGAAAGCTCTAAGTCTTTCTGTCAATTTTGCACTTCACCGGATCCCCCCGGCAGACTTCTTGGTTCTCCGAACAGGTTGGAGCCTCGACAACGGGCTTCGGTTTTCCTTTGAACCCTCTGAAAACATCCCGAAAAGGGTTGCCATCAGACAAGGCGCAGCCATGGTCCCGCTTCGCAAGGATCAAGATGCCGCTCCCGAGAGCCCTGCGCCGAGGGGGGTGGGATGTCAAGAACGCGCTACACGCAGTGAAGGTTGTGCTGCCCACCGTGTTTGCCCTAAGGGGTGGGGATGTTAACCCCCAGTAATTTGGACGGTAAACAAGCGAACACATGAAGGTCCGGTACTTGAGGATCCCTTAGTGTGTGGCATGGGCGCAGTTAGCTTCGGAAGGACTACCAACTCTTGGGCGGGGCCTTGAAGTTCTTGCAGGTTTCGGTATGGAGATGGCAAGGGGCTTCTTTGCAGGACCAAGCAGAGGCTACCAGAGGAGGCCTTTTTTTCTTTCTCGTTTTTTGGGGTTGCTGCGGTTTTTCTTTGCAGCGATGTGTTGCCGCAGTGATTGCCTTGTATTCATGCCCCCTTGCATTGATTTGCTTCGCAGGCTGTTGGCCTCCGAATTGCTGACAGATCATGCAATCTGCAATTCTCCGTGTTGGATGTTTCCTTCTCCACGCGCTATTCTGCTATCAAACCCTGTCTCAAAGCTCCTTCGGTCCTCGTCAAGTTCCATGGCTCATATTGTGACGGCAATTATTCTGGTTTGCTCCTGGCTGCCAACACAAGCTTGTGAGGACGGCTTCCCCATGTATTCGGTGTTCATTTGGAGCTTTTGCTTGGTATTCATCATGGCTTTATGAGGCTGAAATAGTCAATTGCTACCAGAATGTTCAGGTGCACCGCTCAGTTGCAGTCGGAATTGTTGTCAGTTGTGAAGGAATGCAGTGCCACGAAACATTCGGCTAGCTTTCGAGAGTCAAAGCGGGCGGGGATGCCAGCGAGTGCTGAATGCCGCCACATGTCAAAACTGCCGCTGTCCTTTGTCAGCCTCGGGCGTGCGACAGGATTTTGGGGGGATCTGATCTGAGAGTCCTGAGAGGAGGCTCGTTGGCTCGGCCATGGATTTGTTGCAAGAGTTGTGGCGTGCTGGTCATTGAGCTCGTGGTGACCTGGGCCTCCGCAAATGAGCTTCAGGTTTGCCTGTAGATAAGCGCTTGGTGTTGGATGAGAAGTACCAGCCAAATGCAATCCCCAAGTTAGTGGGGAAAGAAGACCCATGCGCCATGGTCGAAAGACCGGTTCCTTCACCTGGGATGGATCGCCATCCACCTGGTAAGGATCAGGATCAGTTTTTGCCATGGCACATATACTTGGCGGTTCCCAGCCATCCCCAAATGCCTTTTGAGCTTTTTGGTTGGTTGAGTGGTTGGGTTTCCAGTTAACCAACTAAATGTTAAACTCTCAGGGGATCTGAAAACGGACAGACAGCCCAGAAAAAGGGGGACCCTCTATACCGCATACTCCTTGTAAGCATGGCAGTTTCAAAACGGGCGCGGGGCTGAGGATCCGTTCCACCAGAGGACAGCCTGGCCCCTGGATCGGTCCGTTGGGTGACCACCTTACCGGATTCATTCCATGGGGATTGTCGCTGTGCATACGCATAGTGTATATACATGATTGTTTTGGTATATACATATACATACACATTTCATTGCATTGCTTTATATTTGCATTCACATTTACATTTACATTACTTTACATTGTATGCATCCATACATTGCGGCACATATGGGCAACTTGTTTTGGTTGGATAGTTTGGGACTTGAACTCCTGGCGATTGTCACAGATGGATGGAGATGATGCAACGGAACTTTGAAACCGCCAGTCAGCCCACAAAAGATTGGGCGGTTGCCTCCCACGGGGATTGGGGTTCTGAGGTCGGGCGCCGGCCTTCGCGAAGAAGGCGGGAGACCATTGGGGTGCTTTACACACCCTGGTTCTTTTGGGCTCCTGTCTGTGTCAATCGGAGGAGCTTGGGTGTTGCTTCAGCATCTGGGAGTGGCCGATGATTTGTTCCTTTGGCATAGTTCTTGAAGGGAAACCATCACGGAAGCAGAACATAGTTTTTTGGAGGTACCGCTTTTCAGGAAAAAGCCCAAGGTTCTCAGAGGCGGGCGCACCGAGCAGAGCAAGCGTAAAGCTGATGGGCAGATTCGTCCTGGGTTATCACGAAAGCTAGCTTTAGCTAGCTGAAGTTTCTCCTTGCGTAAGCAAGGTAAGGGGCTCAAATGCCGAAAGATTGATTTTTTCAATTATTTGAGCCGAAAAGATTGAAAAACATCAATTATTTAGACCCCCCCCCCTCCCCCCCCCCGGGTCTCAGGCTCGATTCCTCCCTGGTCCATCCCCCCCCCCCCCGGCAGTGGCTCAGTGTTCAGCAGTCTCGGTTTGCCCGTTTTGGACTTGGTGCTACGAACTTTTACATGTTCCACCGATTCAGCTTGTTCATTTGAGACCTCAGTCTTCTCGGTAAACCACCTCGCAAGAATCTTTGCACACGCTGCATGCAGAACCCAGAGGTGCTTTAAGACAGCTTCTGACGCCTCTCGTTGTTTTCATTTTTCAAGGTTTGCCACGCCACCATGTGCGTTTGCGTGTCGCATCCTGCGAATCTTGCCGGGCCTCTCGTTGTACACAAGCTACCTATGAATCCACTCTGTCACCGACCCATCTCATGCAACAACTGCTAGCTTTCGTTCACCCGCTCCTCAAGTCTAGATCAGGTTGGGGATTTTGAGGGCTTTCTCTTGTTTAGCTCGCCGCCAGCCGCTTGCACCGTTCGGCCGCCGGTCGTAGCTTTCTGAGGGCTTCGGGTGCTTGCGAGCAACCTTCGGGTATCCGATCTAGGTTGGTTTTGTTGTTACAGTCAGGCAGGCGCAAGGTCACCAGGTTCAAAGACAACCGGGTATGGGCGGTCGAATGGGAGCTGGGTATGGGGGGTAAAGGGAGCAGGACAGCCTTCAGACTCTGTGTGGATCCCTGATTTTGACCTCAGCTCAGCGCTTGAAGGCGGATATTTTCTGTCTTTTTGGGGCAAAGGTTCTTCTTGAGTTTTGTCCGTCGCTCTCAAACACCTCGTGGTTGACAAATTGAAGCGGACTGTTCTTTCGGTTGACCGTTTCAAGAGGAAATGTAGGGCCCTCTACTTGGTGGTTTGGAGTCAATTTCTGTGCATCCAAACAAATGCTCTGCGACAGGAGTTCGATACAACTTCAAACGGTTGCCTTTGGGTATCTTATATTTGACCCAGGACTGCGTCCATTGAAATTTGGAACGATCCCTTGGAAGCTTTACGCACCCCTTTCACGCCATGTTCTTGGGCATGTTTCCGTTCTGATTCAGGATCCATCGTCCATTGACATTGCCCGGGCTGACCGCCAAGCGAGATGAGCTACTGTGGATGGACAAAATCCAAATATCGCAGCACTGTGAAAGCCATGGTTTTCAACCATTGTGTGGTACTTTCGTTGGGGAATCCAAGCATTTTCTCGGGTTTCTGAAGGGTGCGACATGGATTTCGCAGACGCACAGGTCGTACCCGTGGCAGTTTGCGCCAGGCCTCAGCGCCCCCTCCCAAGGTGCCGAGCGACTCGGCCGCGGTGGATTTGGGATGTGAATGGGAGCGAGTCACTGTCGGCCGCCGGACGAGCGCCTCTTCTGTTGTTGTTGATGCTGTTGCTGCTGCTGCTGCTGCTGCTGCTGCTGCTGCTGCCATCTCTCTTCTCATTCGCCACATCAGTGTGTGGGTTACGGTCTCCGCCTCCGCCGCCGCACTGCTCCTCCGCCGCCTCCGCCTCCTCAACTGACACTCACTTACTTTGTCATAGTTACTCTCACACACTCAACTTACACTCACTGACTTTGCCACACTAACTCGCACACACTCAACTTACACTCATTCACTTTGTCATACTTACTCTCACACACTCAACTTACGCTCACTGACTTTGCCACAACTTTGTCATACTAACTCTCACACACTCGACTTACACTCAGTGACTTTGCTACACTAACTCGCACACACTCAACTTACACTGACTGACTTTGTCATACTTTACTCTCACACACTCAACTTACGCTCACTGACTTTGCCAACTAACTGTCACACACACAACTTACACTCACTGACTTTGCCACAACTTTGTCATACTAACTCTCACACACTCGACTTACACTCAGTGACTTTGCCACACTAACTCGCACACACTCAACTTACACTGACTGACTTTGTCATACTTACTCTCACACACTCAACTTACGCTCACTGACTTTGCTAACTAACTGTCACACACTCAACTTACATTATACCACACACCCAACTAACTGTCACACTCAACAAACTGTCATACTGTCACACACTTTACATTACCTTGCGAAGGTTGGCCGCCGTGGGGCGGCGGTCTTCTTGCGTGGCAGGCGCAATACTTTCTGCGCTCCGATGCTGTTTCGCGTGGCAGGCGCCGTGCTCTCTGCACTACGATGCTGTTTCGCGTGGCAGGCGCAGTACTTTATATTTCCTTGCGAAGGTTGGCCGCCGTGGGGCGGCGGTCTTCTTGCGTGGCAGGCGCAATACTTTCTGCACTCCGATGCTGTTTCGCGTGGCAGGCGCTGTGCTCTCTGCACTCGGGTGCTGTTGTGCGTGGCAGGCGCAGTACGTACTTTATATTACCTTGCGAAGGTTGGCCGCCGTGGGGCGGCGGTCTTCTTGCGTGGCAGGCGCAATACTTTCTGTACTCCGATGCTGTTTCGCGTGGCAGGTGCAGTAGTTTCTGCACTCGGGTGCTGGCCGGTTTAATTTTCGTTGTTCGTCAGGCTCCAGCGTGTAGCAACACGCAGGTCAGATGACAGAAGGTTGTACGTTGCGTGTGACTGCAGTTTTCGGGGGCGCAAGAAGGTTTGGACAAGATGTTTGTGTGTTCTTTGTGGGCGCAGGAGAACGCTGGATGAGGACTTTGAGCAGTTTCGATAGATTCACTTGCAGGATGCAACCACTCTCGCCGGCCAGTGCGCTACACAACAGGACCCTTTTGTCCCCACATGAACTTCCTACACAACCCCAGCTGGTTGGAGAACCTCCCGGATTCTCCGAAAAAGGCTCAGAATGCGAGCGGAGTATGACCACCGGGTCACCCTCCCCATTGAGTACCTTCCAATCGATCTCAAGCAATTCTTCTCGGGCAAGGGCGGTGGCGTTCCAGCACTAGCAACTGGGTGCATGTGGAGTGTGGGATGGTTCTCCCGGCCCTTTCCGGCTTTGACTACACACGCAGGACCACTGGCAACAGGGCCAAGAACCGCTATGCACCTTGTGCCGGACGGGACGGAATGGGGGCGTGATGCCCCAGCGGACCAGCAGGGCAAATGGCTTGAGCAACCCTCACGGCTGCCTGTTGGAAATCTTCGATGGCGAGACGGTGCTCCAGACGATCGTCACGCACCCACCGACAGAGGCCAGAGAGCGGTGGATCACTCTTTTGCCGGAAATTCGAACGCACAGCACCGCTCTTGGACGCAGCCCCATGCAAGCTCCCGGGACAGAACCCACTTCGAGTTCGCCTGGGCCCGGAGGCGTCGGACCAGCTGTGGCGCCTGGTCTTCTCGGAGCCGTTGGCCAATCGGCGGACATTCTGGCGCAACGGGTGCGGCAGGAGCTGGAAGTGTCCAAGGAGCCGGTGGTCATCCCGGAGGAGATCACCCCCATGAAGGTCGACGGATGAGTCTCCAAAAAACACCCTTGCGCACGGCTGCCTTGAGTAGACAGTAGAGTCGGTCTTTTTCCCCGATGCAGATGTGGCCTGGCACCTGGCACTCCCGCGGTGGGAAATTGATGTGAGTGCCTCGCTGAGCGAGTCTGCCTTTTTGGACATACCGGACCAACGGTGGTGGCAAACAGTGTGGGACTTGCCTTTCGCTGTTTGTCCTGGGTGGGCTCCCCCCTCCTTTGTTTTTGTCGGATTTCTGGGGGTTGCCCGTTCCGGTTTGACGTGGACCTGCAACGTCCGGCTTCGCGGAAAGACCCCGTACCCGTCCATGAAGCGTTCTGCCGCATGCATTGTGTGAAAGAGAGAACTCGGGCGCCCCCCGGGTCCTTTTCACGGGTTGCTCCTTTGGAGCGGCTCTTGCGGGTTGATCGGTTGAATTCTCTCGGAATGTGGAGGGCTGATGCTAAAATTCTCAAAGCGGATTTGTGGGGCTTGATCCTTGGACCCGGGAGCCTCTTTTTCCAGTCGCTGTTGGCCCTTTCAGGAAATGCCTACTCGAGATTACCGCACGGAGGATGGCTTGCAGACTACTCAGGACCTGTGGAACAGGGACTGTGCGAGCTTGGGGGGCTCCTCACTTCCCAGACCTTTTTTGGTGTGGCCCTGGTGCATCCTTGTTTTTTGTGTGGACACCCGGGCACGAGCTGGTGTGACTTGTGTGAACAGGAAGGCGGGTACGCCACTCTCTGCATGGGGTGTGACAGAGAACGGGATGGGTGCCGCAGGCAAAGTAAAGGACTGGCAGAAGGGACATTCCAAACCCACCACCGCCGGGCTTCATCGTTGTGTGGGGTTCTTGTTTTTACTGTCTTCGCCCGTGTCTCGCGCGTTGTCGTGTTCGCCCGTGTCTCGTGCGGTGTCTCCGCGTGCTCCGCGTCCTCGACGCGTACTCCTCCTCCGCCACCTCCGCCTCCTCAACTGACACTCACTTACTTTGTCATAGTTACTCTCACACACTCAACTTATTTATTGACTTTGCCACACTAACTCGCACACACTCAACTTACACTGATTGACTTTGTCATACCTACTCTCACACACTCAACTTACGCTCACTTACTTTGCCAACTAACTGTCACACACTCAACTTACACTCACTGACTTTGCCACCACTTTGTCATACTAACTCTCACACACTCGACTTACACTCAGTGACTTCGCCACGCCAACACTCAACTTACACTGATTGACTTTGTCATACTTACTCTCACACACACTCAACTAACGCTCACTGACTTTGCCACACTAACTTTGTCATACTAACTCTCACACACTCGACTTACACTCACTGACTTTGCCACACTAACTCCCACACACTGAATTACTATTCCCTGACTTTGTCATACTTTGCGTGGCAGGCGCAGTACTTTCTGCGCTCCGATGCTGTTTCGCGTGGCAGGCGCAGTGCTCTATATTACCTTGCGAAGGTTGGCCGCCGTGAGCGGCCGTGGCGCGGTGATTTCTTGCGTGGCAGGCACAACACTTTCTGCACTCCGATGCTGTTTCGCGTGGCAGGCCAAGTACTTCATATTACCTTGCGAAGGTTGGCCGCCATGGGCCGCCGCTGGGCGGCGGTCTTCTTGCCAGGCAGGAGCAGTTTTTTCTGTACTCCGACGCTGTTTCGCGTGGCAGGCGCAGTACTCTCTGTTTCGCGTGGCAGGCGCAGTACTGTATATTACCTTGCGAAGGTCGGCCGCCGTGGGCCGCCGTGGGGCGGCGGTCTTCTTGGGTGGCAGGCGCAATACTTTCTGCACTCCGATGCTGTTTCGCGTGGCAGGTTTTTTTCGTCGCGCAGTTGCACTCCGACGCGGTTTCGCGTGGCAGGCGCAGTACTTTATCATTACCTTGCGAAGGTTGGCCGCCGTGGGCCGCCGTGGGGCGGCGTTCTTCTTGCGTGACCGGCGCGATATTTTTGGACTCCGTGATCGAAGAAATAGACGGGCTGTCGCGCGACAAAGCAAAAAGCCCGCAGTGGAAAAAAAGGGACATGGTGCCATTTGCGCGACGGAAAACAAAGTGGGTATGTGGGGTTATCCGGTCCTTTAATTTCTCTTTTCCTTTTTTCTTTTTGCAAGTATGGTTCTTTTTACACGTTAATTCCGTTTCCCCGGCTTGAAGCGTGTCGTTCCAATGGCCTTTATCGTGGAGTTCGCTCGGCTTTAGCCCCCTGCCTCTGGGCTGGACTGGCCAAAGACATTGCTGCAATCAATGCTCGGGCTGTTTGCCTGGCCACACTTGCCGCGAAACATTCGTCATTTCCCAGACCCCAAACGGCAACAGTCTCATGCTCGGCTTCCCTTCAACTACCTTTAGAGGGGGGGTTCCTTTTGTTGAGACGTTTGTTCATCGTCGAAGGCATGGTTGTCCGTGGCTTTCTCTTGGATGGACATCAGCCTTGCTGCTTGGTTTCGGTCAATATACTTCGTGACCCAAGTGCCGCCCTGACTCAGGCCGGGTGCAAACTGGGGAGGCCTATCCCTTTGAGGAGGACGAGCTGGGCTCTCAAGAGGGGGGCGGTGAGTCCAGGTGACAACATGTTGAGACCGTGTTGAGACCATGCGGTGGCACTCAAAGAAATACAAGCCTATATACATATATAGTTATATATGTATGTATATATATATATACACATGTATATACGTACGCAAATGCACATATGTAGATGGAATGTGCTTGCAGCTGCTGTAGGGGTCGATTTGGGTATGTGTCAAAATTGGACCAGGAAAATGAGTCTGGGTTTCCTTTGATCTTGGGATGAGCCAAGCTGAAAAGGGTTCCAAGTCCCAAACAAAACAACAACAGGGCCTCCCAAATCCAATTACTGCTGGGTCCATGATCAATGTCTTGGGTCTCTGGCGCCAAAAAACAAACACATTTTTTTGCTTGGTCTCCTCCAGGTGGCTTCTTACACCCCATCCCCCACAACGGGGGGAATCCGCGGGCGGTACCAAAAAACCCAAAAACCTCAGAGGCGCAGCTGTCTCCCCTCGTGGGTCGGGGGAGTTTTGCTCGAACAGCCAAACCCGCAGGGGTTGTTTGACGATGGCCTTGCCTTGGAGCAGGAAGTAGTGCTGCAGGAGCTTTCCGTTCCTTGTCAAGGCCCGCGTCCTAAGGCCGAAGAAAGCCCTTTGGCACCCTGTCCGTAAGACCTGGTGTTCTGGCCACTTGTCTGCCGTGTGTGCAATGTTCTGTTGTGCATGGTGGGTGCCAAAGTGGTCGAGGCTGATTTTCAGGGACCACTTTGAGGGCTGCAAGGCCCCAGAAAGTCCCATCGCATGCCGCCACGCACATTGCTTGCCACGGTTTCACCCGCCTTTGGCCAAGGGTGTCGGTGAACTCCGAGTCATCCTCCTCTGATTCCGAGGACTGATCTAGAGGTGCTTCGGCTGGAGTGTTTTGGCGTTCTGGTGCCCAGCGTTTCAGCACGAAGTTGGACCTTCTGAATATGGTTGGGTGCCGAATGCACACACACACACACACATGCCACATCATTTCTTGCGGAGAATCGGGTTTTGTCAGATTTTAGCATCAGCTTGGTGTGGCGTCGCCGAGTTTTTTGCTTATGTCTCCGACTGCACCCCTTTCCGGGTGCATCAGGGTGCAGGGCATTCCTCCAATCCAATAACTCAAGTTGGTCCATTTGCATGGTAGAGCTCCAACGTGGTTCTTGTCGATCAAGCTGCAAATTGGGTGAGGGCTCCCTTTGTTGAAATGCGCCACGGTCAAATTGTTTGACTGCATGAGATGATCATTGGCCATTCAAGGTCCTGCGAAGACCTTTGGTCTGGCGGTGCCCCCTTTAGCTGGAGATCCCCTGCGGAGTATTGTTTATTTCTTGCAGATGGCTCCACGCGACATTGCCAACCTCCACTACCCCTTACCCTCTCGTCCTTTTCGGTTTCCTTTCAGCTGCCAAAAAATCAACCTTTTGCAGTGCGTCTAGATCTGGTCAAAGGGACACCAAGCAAGAACCAGCGCTTTGAAGGGGCGCCTGATTGCGCGAGGATAGACCAGGCTCTGAAGGCAGGGGGAGAAGGAGAGAGGGAAGGGAGGTCGAAGAGTTCGTGCTGACTGATTGAGCCATGCTCATGGCATTCTACTTTTTTGGCTCGGCGCCCGTTTGAGTTTGTGTGTGCCCGTTCTATAGAATTGCGTGACCGCCTCGTCTGGTTGCTTAAATGCTGATCCTGAATCACACAAGCTTGTTTTTGTGCGCCGAGGCCTCTCGCGTGCCCTTTGCCGCCCTCTGGCCGTCAAGAGGGTCATGATCCCTTCGGGGTTGGTGGATAAAATGCCGTAAGACAGCTTTATGGTACCCAAAAACGGTCAAAGGAAAAAAATGACATCAACGGGGACAAGGATCAAGAATCCCAACATTTTTACCGCTCTATGACAGTTTTTCAGGTGCCGAGAAAGCCACCAGTCAGAATGATCCGTTGAGAAGATGCCGCTCCTTTATTCTGCGCAAATGGTCGAGAGCTCACCTGGTTGCTTGCTGGGGGTTCCTGTTTTCCAGTTCAGACCTTGGGCCCCCGCCAGAAAGGCACCATGGCCGTCCCAGCAAGACAGCCTCCATTTTGTGATGTTTTGGGCTCTGCAACTATTCCCTGAAGGGTCTATAAATGGAGCCGATGCCCTAAAAACTGCCAGGTTTGACAGTTTGACCAGGGGCAAGCAAAGGGGAGCATCGGAGCTGGTCCGACTGGTCCGACTGCTCCGGGTTTGGGGTTTAACTGGGGATTCTTTCGTCGGCCTTCTCGGACGCGCTTCGTTTGCTCGCTGGCAAGCGAGGCGTCGGCGTGGTCGCCTCAGCTACGGGGCTGGGGTGTGATTCGGAAGCGGGGTGGAGGATTTGAGTTTTGGATGTCTCCACAGACATGTCTTGGTGGTTCCCAGCCATCCCCTTAGGTTTTTAGCTTTGTAGTGTTTAGGCGTTTAACCCAGATATGGTGTGCAGTTTTTTTTCGGGCTACCTTGGTCCTTTTTGGCGTTGGTTTCAGGGGAAACCAATGGCAGAACCAGCATTTTGGGGGGTCCAACCCTAAAAAAAGAACGAGCCACCATTGTGGTGGAAACCAAGACCCTGTTCGCTCGGCTCTGTGGAAGCCCCAAAAAGATCCGGACCATTCGCAGTGGCTTTGAAGCGGGAGATTGTGCTCCAGGGCTCCCATTTTCCAGAAAGGTGGAACAAGGGCAAACTGAAGCAAAGGCGGGAGTTGACTGGGGAAACTACATAGAAGAGGGGGTGTGATGCATGCTTTTCCAGGTGGAAAAGGGCAAGCTAAAGAGGGTGTGTGTGATGCAAGAGAGGTTAAATGCTGGACAGACACTCCCAACGCGCTCGCTGGTAGTTTAGGTCGGACCAGGAATTCGGAGCTTCCAATGATTGCGTATCAACATGGTAAGTGGGTTATAACCGGGCTCACTAACCACTAAGCACCCTGGCCCTTCAAGTAACCTATGTTGGACGAATCTTCCGGCCGTCTGACCCTTTAAAGTGCGTGAAACTCCCAGGCTCCGCCCGGCATCCTCCACCCCCCAGCCGCGCTGCCGGCGCTGCCGCCGCCGGCGCCTGCGCTGCCGGCGCTGCCGGCTCTGCCGGCGCTGCCGGCGCCGCAAGGGCCGCCAGGAGCGTGTGAGCTGGTTAATGCAGTTTCATGGTGTTCAAGGTTGGTTTCTTTCAGATTGGTTGAGGCATTTTCCGGGTTTGCGACCTCTGGGCAAATGCGAAGGATTGCGACCTCATGTTGAAGGTTCTGCGACCTCAGGTAGGTTTCTGCCCCCAAATCGGTGCAAACTCATATTTGAGTTTTTGGGGCTCCAAGTAGAGCGAGTGTGCACCAAACCGGGTCCCCCTAAAAAAGGGCACACACACACAAACACACGAACATGCTGGACAGCTTTCCTCCTTTTGGGTTGTAGTTTTCAACTTCGGGCGCGGGACACGCATTGGCCAGGAAGCAAACGACCAGGACCTCAGCCTTTTGAGGAAGGTTTGACCAATGTAGGTGCCCTCCGAGTGTCGCAGCTTCCATGCCGTGGAGCTGCGCTTTTTGAGACGGCCTGCGGATTCTCTCAGGAGTCTTCGAGCAGAATTCTCCCAGCTCGCAGGGCGCTCAGGCGGAGAAAAATTCGGTGAGTACCAAAATTGCTCGCGGATTCCGTGGGCCCTTCAAATCCCATGTCCACTCCAGATGAATCAAGAGGTGCTTCGTCCTTTATGGTTTCTTCCGGGGAGTTCATTTCGGAGCGGTCCAACCCAGTGGTATTCGATGTCTCGCTTGCACAGCTATGAAACGGGTAGAGCAACAAAGAAGGCATAGAATCCGACATAAGCCTTCAGACTTCGGTGTTTGCTCCTGAACAGTTTCAACTCATCGCACAAGCCGACATTTTGCTCCATTGCACGGTGCCTGCTGGGTCGGGTCGATTTCCTTTACAAGTTCCTTGCAGACAGGCAGCATCTTTTTCCGTCCAACAGAAGCTCAAAACTTAAGGGTCCAGCCACTCGATATTGGGCGCGGCATTTTCCAGTAGCCAGGCGTCAGTTTTTTTTGGGAAGGAGTCGGCCCTCGCCCGAAGGCCCCTTGGCGAATGAGTCAGGGTACCGGCATTTGGGTTTGAAGTCAAGGGCTTGGAGGTCTTTGCAGCATACTCCGGGAAACCAACTAGCAGGGATACAGGGGGAACCAGGGATATGGTTGATGATTCCCCGGTACATGCACCTTGACTAAGTTTATGGGAAATGGCGCCAAGGGAATCCCCCCATATCCCCGCTCCCTCCGTATCCCCGCTTGTTCGTTTGTCCAACATACCTTTCCCCTTGGCACATGCTCCCGGCATCCGATCTCAGGGGTTCCGGTTCCTCTGACGAGCTGATGCAAAGGCCGGGCGCGCTCGTGTTGCAGTAGGGCAGCGGCATCCTTTGCAGGAACATGTTGCAGCCCGGAAGCACCTTGCTGGTTCAAGATGGCCATTGAGTTTTCATCTTCTAGATTGCCAGCGTATTTGACTTTACGAGCAGCGATTTGTCAAAGGGGGTGCACGGCCCCACATCGGCACTCTTGTATAGAATGCCCCTTCTTCACACCCCCTCGGCTTCTTGGACCGGGGAAGGGGGGGGGGTGTAAACACAAGTTGCCTGGACTTTTTTGTGGTCTCACGTGATAATAGCACCACATCCGCACGTGGACAAACACAGAAGAGACCTTCGTTCTCAAATATGAATGTGTTTCCCCCGTAAATTCTCCGCAAAACAAGCCCAGAAGGGTCCAGGGTTCTCCCATAGCAAGGCTCTACCGCCATGTGCATCGCTCAGATCTCGTGTGCACCACTCCCCGCATTTTTTCCAGGTTCAGCTCGCTCTCGGAGCCCAAGGCGCCAGGCGCAAACGCCTGGGATGGGGTGGCCCCTTGGCCCAGGTTTTGAATTCTGGACCCTCGGGTTTCTGGCGAAGAGATGCTCGGCGTTTCAGATTTTGTGGTAGGCCAAGATGGCTAGGAGGTAGTGGTTTCTATTTTACTAGGTCTGGTTTTTTATTAGGTCTGGTGATGGGTTGGTTAGTTGGTTGGTTGGTTGGTTGGTTGGTTGGTTGGTTGGTTGGCCGCATCCCCGGCATCACCAGCATCACTTGGACCTGTTGCCCATAGGCTGTGACTGGGTGGCAGCTGGGAGTTGCTGGGGGCTGGTTTAAGCTAGGGGGGGTTTTGGCTGGCTTAGGTCTTCATGAGGGTGGGTCTTGGGGTGGTTTGGGGTTGATTTAGGCGAAGCGAAGGGCTGACATCCAGGCTGCTGTTGGGCGGGTTTAGGGTTAACTTTGAGTGGGTTTGGGGTGGCTTGGAGCTGATTTGTGTTGGGTGTGCTGCTGGTTTAGCAGCGGCTTTAGAGTTGCTTTAGGGTGTGGTTAAGAGAGTTTTGGTCGAGTTTAGGGTTGGTTTTGGAGCGTTGCCCCAAACCACCAAAACTCGACCAAAACTCTCTTAACCACACCCTGAAGCAACTCTAAAGCCGCTGCTAAACCAGCGTCACACCTAACACAAATCAGCTCCAAGCCACCCCAAACCCACTTAAAGTCAACCCTAAACCCGCCCAACAGCAGCCTGGATGTCAGCCCTTCGCTTCGCCTAAATCAACCCCAAACCACACCAAGACCCACCCTCATGAAGATCTAAGCCAGCCAAAACCCCCCTAACCTAAACCAGCCCTCAGCAACTCCCAACTACCACCCAATCAGCCAAGTGATGTTGGTGATGCCGGTGTTGGCAGCTTTGCGGAAAACCGGGCCTAGTAAAAAACCGGACCTAGTAAAACAAAATACACCTCTACCAAGATGGCTAGGGGTGTTCATCAGTACCGAAGTGTGTCCTTCAGAAAGGCGTTGGGCTGAGGCCCAATGTGTTTGGTACTGGGATGGCTCAAGAGGGTATCCTCTACCAAAGTGGTCCTTCAGAAAAGCGTTGGGCTGAAGAGGCTTAGCGGCCCAACGTTTGGTACTGCCTCGAACCCGTTTCGGAACTCTTTGCCCGACGCGCGGTCTAGATTTGAACTTTGTGAATGGCAATGGATCGGAACCCTAGAGCCTGAAATGGGTGTGTCTTTATTCAGCTTGGACCCTCAATTGGTGTCTTTTCTTTTGGTTTTCTTTTAAAGACTCAAAAGGGGGTACCCCTAAAAAGCACACAGCGAATGGCGCCGCACTGCATCGGTTTTGTTCTGAAGTGTCGAACTCATGTCGAAGATGCGTGGAACTTTTGGACCCCTTTCGGCAGCTGATAGGCCCGCAGAGTTCAGTGGTTGACAGGCTCCAGCCAGCGTTCTCCCGCAAGGATGCAGGTTGTCTCAGGCCATTTCTTCCTGGCTTCTTGAGGCAATTTGGTGAGACAGGGCTGCCTGGACTGGCAAAGACCTGGCATGTTCGAGCAGCCATGATCAACCCTTCAATAGATTATTCCGTCTATTCGGTGGGGATGGTTGACAGTTGGAGTCTATTTTGCCAACTTCTTTAGTGTGCCCTGCATGCGTGGCGTGGGTGGTCACGTGCTTTACCGCCGCTGAAGCGGCGCAGGGCCGCCGCCTGTGCGGGGGCCCGGAGGCGAATGCTCCAATGTCGCAAGAAATTGAAGGGCAAAGTCACCGGACCTGGGTGCAACTCGCTGGCCAACAATCCAGCCGAATACATGACGCGACAATGCGATTGGCTGCTTGCTTTGAGCCCACAAGCTTTCAATCGCACGAGCTGCTTCTGAAAAATAAGGTAAAGGCCAAGCAGCTTGACGAGGAGGCCCACAACTCGTTTGTATTTTTGAGGCAACTTGCCAAGATCAGAAACAACGCTTGTTTGCGCTTGCTGCACCAGTACTACTGGTTAGGCACTTAAAAGCACTTCGGATTTGCATGGGGAGAGCTAGTCTTCCATATGGGATTGTGTCAAAACAGGAGATCCCAACTTTGGGCTGTGAAGCCAAATGAAAGACTCCGACTCACGCCCACACGGCCATATGCGCAGAGTACAGATGTCTTTGTTGCTGGCTTTATGCGGCAGCATCATTTACCCCTAGTCAGAAGGATGAGCATCCGCTTGTAGAACTGCTGCTTTCCTTGCACAAAGTGAGGTGGAGGAAGGCGTTTTTGCATCACCTGGCGCATGTGCCTCTTATCCCCTGCAATCTCTGCAAAGGCCGATCTGCAAGCCTTCAACAGGCAGCATCACTGCATCACTTTGTGCTGTTCGCATGAGGGTGGGTGAATTAGCGACAGAAGCAAAGACACCTGAGCCACAGTCAAAACCCGGGTGGATGAAGGTTGTGTTTGTAAGAGATAATCCCAACCATAAACGGGTGCAGCCGCTTCGTTAACTCCTTACATCATTTTGGGTAGACCATTTTAATACCAGGTTTTGATTCGCAACGATGCCTCGCACTTTAGGAGCTCAGAGCTCAGTTGCCTGGTCCTTGCAAGAGCCCGACGGAAATGCGATGAGGTGATGCGACCGGAGCATAGGCTGGAGTCGACCAGGGCCAGGGTTCATTGTTTGAAGGCAGCAGGAGTTGTCGCAAAGCAGAAGCGAGTCCGATGGTTTAAGCTTCAGGCGCTCCTCTCCAGGATGTTTCACGCAAAGTTTGGTTGCTTCACTGCCGTAACACCTGCGGCACTAGAGTGTGTTTCATCCGGTCTTCCCCTGCACAGCGATTTGCATCCCCCATGTTGGATGGCAAGTGATCCGTTTCCAACCCCTTCCATTTGCTGAAGGCGACTGGGTATTCGTCACAGTTTTTTTCTTTTTTTCTTTTTTTTGTCAAGAAATGGACTAGTGATAGATCATGCTAATAGGGGTTGAATTTTGCGTCAAAAGCAGCCCCGCAACCGAGCTCTTGGTCATTCCTTGCAAGAGTCGTTTCGGCCATTTTGAGAATTTCTTCTCATTGGTAGCAGCAAAAAGGGGATGAACATCAAAAAATAATAATTTGGGGGATATTTAGGGGATCAAAAAGCCAGTAAAAAGGCAATCCCCCCACCCGCTGAATCACGCAGCAACAGACCGGGCCGAGTTGGCGGCCATCCCCTGCTGATTTGCCCCTTGAAGACAAACCAATTAGTAGCCATAGAAAGTAAGCAGTTTTCAACCGCCAGTTCAGGTTTCCTTCTTGCCAGTCCAGGGTCGACTTCACAAGTTTCTCTGTGAGGCTTCCAAGCTTCGGTCAGGCCATTGCCTGCCTGGGCGCAGCCGAACGGGACCGGGCAAAGCCAGGCGCGGGGGTGGGGGGCTGGGTATTTTTGAGATGAGGGGTTTTGGGTTCCAGAACTCTCCAACATACCTTTTTTGAGCATACCCCTGACCCCAAGTGAAAGGAATCATCATGGGAGGGTTTGGGTATGCTCAAAAGGTATGGATGGTACGGGGCTCAAACGAGCAGGTTTGGGATTTAGAACATCAGCTCCGAGTCGCACTGGCGCTGACAGTGGATCCACAAGGTGTTGCGCGGTTCTTGACTGTCTCAGCCGCATCAGGATCCTACCCTCTAGATGAGCTATGTCCTCCATACACTGATATTGTATATTCCTCTTCTTGTGGTGAGGGGTGCTCATGCACAGTTGCAATCTTCATTCCCGCATAGCTCGAAGAACTCTGAGGCCCTGGCTCAAAATTTGGTGGTTCCCTGCCGTATGGCCGATGGTGCTGGGGGTACATGACTTCCTTGGGGCTCCATGAAAGACCGGGAAACTTGCAATCGGATCGATCCCGCGGCAATTCCGGCATCCGCAGCAGCAAAAGGCGAGCATCGGAGTCCTTCTCCAAGCGGGTCTCCAGTTTTGACGGGTCGCCAAAAGGAATGCGGGGTGTCCTTTTTTGGGGGTACCCGTTTTGGGGAGGGTTTTTGTCGGCAAACCAAAAGGAAAACCATTATTTTTTTGGGGTCCCCTAAAAGAAGGCACCCACTTGGTGCTGTTGACATGTGTTTCTTCCTTTTGGACAGGAGCCGCCGCTGCCCGCCTGGGCTACAGCGCAAGATGGCCGGGCGGAAGCGGGTGGGCTTGAAGCTGGCTTGCTTTGTCGGGCTGTGTCTGTCAAGACTGGTTGGAGAGCTGGCTCGTTTCCTTTGGCTTCACAAGCAAAGTGTTTGTTGGATTTGACACATGGCCCAAAATTATGCTGGAGGGCTTACGCAGAAGTTTGGTCCATGTTTCCACCTACCAGGGTTCCATTTTGGCACCGGTTGTTTGAGCCACAGCAATTTGACGCATGGGTGACATAGTGAATGTGGTGACTTTGGAACATTTCACGTATTGATTCACGGGCATGCACGGGAGTTAGCTTAGCGGTTGGTAAACGCCCAGTAGCCCTCCTAGTGACCGAGAACGCGTACAACCTGC